GAGCGAAGATTCTCTTATTTGAATGTTTTTTTAAAACATTTTTTTAAAGGACAGTGACATTTGGCAGTCATGCGGTAGTTTTTCCACTTATAGTTGTAACGTCTTTAATGACTAGTTGTGTCTTTCTAAACCTTTTGATTAAACAGTTTTGCAGTTGTAGTCACACTCTTATCAGAAATGATTCCCCTAATCCAACATGTTCCTATAAGAGTGGCAATAAGGAGTGAAAACGTGTAAAAAAAAAAAATTCTGGCCTACCTATTAAGATGATAAAACATATACAGTACATACACATATAGAACAGTTTGATAAATAATGCAAATACACAACACACTATATTATTTGTCAATTAATAAATAATGTCCCTTTTTTATAGGGAACACAGTTGTGTGTAGCCAACGCAATAGCAACATATTTACACTGGGAGCTCTTTAAATAGCTAATGACATCATGAAACCGCTGACGTCTCTGCATGGCTAAAGGACATATGGTTAAAAGTGTCGACATGTATAAATATTGGTTTAAAGCACATGTTTCAAACTCGAGGCCCGGGGGCCAAATCAGGCCCTTGGTGGATTTGATTTCGGCCCGCAGGATCATTTCTAAGTACTATTAGATCTGGCCCGCCGGTATATTGCACACACACCTTCACTCCATCCTGAGGGTCTCCTCAGCTCAGAGCCTGACCCCAAACATTGATGACCTTGCACCCAAGATGAGATGCCAAGTATCTGAACTAGCTTCACAGAGCAGCACACTGAGTTTAATGGATGTTTCCTTCTGCACTTTCTCTTGCGGCAACAGGACATGTTTGGTTTGTTCTTTGAGGGAAATAGTTTTGTTGAAGCTGTTGTTGGCCTGTGGAAAAATGTACTCATAAGAAATGACTCTGCAGATAGAGCCATAAGAAATGAATGCAACTGATCATTTAATGTTTAATGTTGTTTTTATAGGCAATAATTTAAGCTTTGTTAGTTCCAGGTTTAATAAGTTCTGCAATAAACATTGAACCAGTCCGGCCTTCGACTAGTACCCATTTTTTTATTTTGGCCCACTTTGTATTTGAGTTTGACAGCCCTGGAACTTTAAAGGAAGCTGAAGCACAAAGCAGAAGAGTGAACGCCTCACTGCTTCCTGTGCCGAGGCTGGTGATGTCATGATCAGCAGATGCTCTCAGGATGAGCTCTCAGGGTTTCTCGTCTTGTCAGAACTTGAAGCGTGGCCTCTGTGTTTCAATAAAGTGGAATGTGGAAGAAACACTTCAGCTGTGCCTGGTTACTTTAGCTTTTACCGCCACCCATTCTACACAGTCATTTTCCAGGCTTCATGTCTTCCTGGAACGGCTTGTTTTCCCAAATACAAACCCAATTATGCCTAAATGGTGTAAACAGCCGGTTTACATTCAACCCACAGTGCAAACAAAGTGGCTCTCGGAGAGAAATAGCTACTCTGCATTATGTGCACAGGAGATATGTGCGTGTAACAGCTTTAAAGTTCGTTATAAAAAGAAAGAAAAGACACCCTTTGAGTTATTACAGTATGAGCAATCATTCGTATTTTGGGATCATATTTCTGTTGAGAGGAAAACGTTGCAACATTATTATCTTAACAGGATGTTTCTTATTTCCTTCCTATTTGTATTTTGTATCATTATCAGCTCATTGCATGCTTCCCACTATGGGGTATGCTTTTGTTAATCTTAGCCCTTTTCAAGCAGAGAAATGAAGAAATAAAAAAAAGATCAAGACACATAAATGCAGCTTCGTCATCACGTCGCTGTTTTCAGTCCGTCTGCTCCCAGACTTGTATTTGTTTTAAGTGTAGCTTTAATAGCAATCTAAACATGAATTGACATTTATTGAAGTACTTTTGAATTATAGACGACATGAAACTATTCCCATGCCCTTTGTTTTCATTAACCATGACATTTATGGAAGTATTATTGCTTAGGAAGTTAGGAAGTAGAGCATAACACAACAAAGAGATCATTATTCAATATTATCTGTCCATTTTCTTCCTCCTGTGACATGTATCCTTTACAACCTATTTAAGGTTAGGTTAATCATTCCACTGGGGCGGACTGGCGCAGTGGGCTGTGCGTTTGATCATCAGATCAAGGGGGAGTTGGGGAACTCTAGTTCGACACCCGCTCCCGCCACCACTGCGTCAGGCCGTTGTGTCCTTGGGCAAGACACTTCACCTGAATTTGCTCCTGTGGGTATTGTCCACAGTACATGACTATTACATGTAGAGTGGGGCAAAAAAGTATTTAGTCAGCCACCAATTGTGCAAGTTGTCCCACTTAAAAAGATGAGAGAGGCCTGTAATTTTCATCCTAGGTATACCTCAACTATGAGAGACAGAATGAGAAAAAGAAATCACATTGTCTGATTTTTAAAGAATTTATTTGCAAATGATGGTGTAAAATAAGTATTTGGTCACCTACAAACTCCACTATGGCCAAGACCAAAGAGCTGTCAAAGGACACCAGAAACAAAATTGTAGACCTGCACCAGGCTGGGAAGACTGAATCTGCAATAGGTAAGCAGCTTGGTGTGAAGAAATCAACTGTGGGAGCAATTATTAGAAAATGGAAGACATACAAGACCACTGATAATCTCCCTCGATCTGGGGCTCCACGCAAGATCTCACCCCGTGGGGTCAAAATGATCACAAGAACGGTGAGCAAAACTCCCAGAACCACACGGGGGGACCTAGTCAATGACCTGCAGAGAGCTGGGACCAAAGTAACAAAGGCTACCATCAGTAACACAGGGACTCAAATCCTGCAGTGCCAGACGTGTCCCCCTGCTTAAGCCAGTACATGTCCAGGCCCGTCTGAAGTTTGCTAGAAAGCATTTAGATGATCCAGAAGAGGATTGGGAGAATGTCATATGGTCAGATGAAACCAAAATAGAACTTTTTGGTAAAAACTCAACTAGACGTGCTTGGAGGAGAAAGAATGCTGAGTTGCATCCAAAGAACACCATACCTACTGTGAAACATGGGGGTGGAAACATCATGCTTTGGGGCTGTTTTTCTGCAAAGGGACCAGGACGACTGATCCGTGTAAAGGAAAGAATGAATGGGGCCATGTATCGTGAGATTTTGAGTGACAACCTCCTTCCATCAGCAAGGGCATTGAAGATGAAACGTGGCTGGGTCTTTCAGCATGACAATGATCCCAAACACACCGCCCGGGCAACGAAGGAGTGGCTTCGTAAGAAGCATTTCAAGGTCCTGGAGTGGCCTAGCCAGTCTCCAGATCTCAACTCCATAGAAAATCTTTGGAGGGAGTTGAAAGTCTATGTTGCCTAGCAACCGCCCCAAAACATCACTGCTCTAGAGGAGATCTGCATGGAGGAATGGGCCAAAATACCAGCAACAGTGTGTGAAAACCTTGTGAAGACTTACAGAAAACGTTTGACCTCTGTCATTGCCAACAAAGGGTATATAACAACAATTCTTTAAAAATCAGACAATGTGATTTTCTGGATTTTTTTTTTTCTCATTTTGTCTCTCATAGTTGAGGTGTACCTAGGATGAAAATTACAGGCCTCTCATCTGTGGGAGAACTTGCACAATTGGTGGCTGACTAAATCCTTGTGTGTGTGTGTGTGTGTGTGTGTGTGTGTTAAGAACAACCGTGCTTTTGACTAAAGTTCATGTTCGGCAGTCTTCAGAGAAATGTGTCCAGACCATGTGAAGGATCTCTGTAAATACACTGAAGTAACATCAACATTTGTTTAACCGTGTATGTGGTAAATATTTGAGCTCTCCCTCTTCTTGACGCTCCTCACATGAATATGTTATGATAGTTGCTATCGTCCCTGACATGTGTTATGTCGTGTAAATACTTTGTGGCTTCTGGGAGAGCCACTGTGTCTGCTCTGTATTCACGGCCTGAGGTGATGTTCACACACTCTCCTCATTCCACTGCGGAACATTTGCCAAAGCTTTTATGTTTAGGAGAAACACTAGATTTGCAGAATGCCTCGTGTCTTTTTTTTGTATTGGTATTTAACAAAATCCAGAAACGTCCATAAGGAACACTGCAAGCCACAATAAAGTTCTATTTTAATTAGTTTGCTAAGACTTTAGGGGGCGAGACAGCTGTGCCACAGTTATAAAGTATACAATGGGTACCAATCTGCATAGTGGCAGTTGGTATAAAAGGAGAACAGGAAATGCGGAACAACTTGAATAGATCGTCTCAATCAAACTGCAATTTGAAGAAGTAACAGACAATTTAAAAGTTGGATACAAAAACTTTTATTTGTTGTTTTGTCTCACCATTTTCCCCGTTTACACCAATGGCCCGTCCACACTACAGCTTCGACAGCTTCAAAAACGGTTTCCAACGCGTCTGCCCATTCACTTTGAATGGGGTGACGTCACTTTTCGCCGAACTGCATTGTGGGAAGCAGAGCGGAGCTTTCCTGGCGTTTCAGGCTGCAAAAGTTGAGCAATGTTCAACTTTTGAAGCTTCTGAAGCTTTCGGTGGAAGCGTCAGCCAATCAAATCATATGCCAGTACAAGCTCTAGCCAATCAAACCGCTGCTTGTGTGTCAGGGGCGGGAGATTCATGTGATTGGTTGTTGGTCGAGCTTCAGACACGCCCAGCTCCAAGCTTTTTTTGAAGCTGTAGTGTGGACGGGCCGTAATGCTGTGAAGAGCAACTAACCATCGAATGTAGTTTGCATTCTGACCTTTCTGTAGTTCATTTGTTCAGTGTAAGAGCTCCCCATAGACAAATCTGGTTGCAATTAGTGTGTAGTTTGGAATTGTATTCAGCCAAATGTTTAGCTGGTGTGTCATCACCACTAATTCTCCAGCAAAATACTTGACCTGCTTACGCTGCCAAGGAATGCAAGCCCTTTACTTCAGTCAGCTGATTAACGTAGTCGTTGGGAGTTGTTTGAACCTGTTTTCATACCTTTTTAGAGTTCATATTTATTCTCCAGCACATTTGAACTAATGTCTCTTGTGTTGGCCCTCAGATAAACACCCAACATGGAGGAGTCCAGCAGCAGCAAGCCGTTCATGGTGACGTCGTCTCTGAACTTCAAAGTCACCACCCCGTCCTTCTACAACCAGCCAAAGAAGTTTGCCTCTGTGGCCCCGCCGCGGTCCAAGAGTGTGACCCCCCCCTCGGGTCCATCACCCACACCTGTAGGCACGGCTGTGATTGGTCGAGTGGGAGACCTTCCTCCGCCGCCCCCTTCGCTCTGTGATGGTATGTTGCATTGTCTTACTTATTTAGAGACACATTTAAAGGTCACCTACTATGCAAAATCCACTTGTTCATGTCTCTTCTACATCAACATGTGTCCCCTCTGTGGAAAGAGATTCTGAAAGTTTCAGGAACAAAGATTCTCTCTCTTTTTGTCCTGATCCATTTCTATAAAAACCTGTCTGAAAATGAGCTGATCAGATTCTGGCCACTTTATGATGTCATAACGATGTTTTTGGCTTGTGTAACCATTAGCCAATCACCAACCAAGGTAACCCCCCCCCCACCTTATCACCTGATACTCCTCCTAGAGCACCATTAGCCGCTTTCACACCAAGTACTTTGCCGTACTTAGTTCCCCCATGGAACTAAGAGCAGATCGCGTTCACACCGGAATAAGACCCTGAGGGAGGATTAGTCAAATGAAGCCGCTGACGTCACTTGTTCTTCTTCTGCTTTGGGTTTACTGGCAGGCCGCAAACAACTTCACGGCGTATACTGCCACCCGAAGTCCCCGGCCGGAAGTCTCCGGAGTTGGGGACTGGCTTCAGTAGAAGCTGCTGGGACTCTCAAACTTTTCAGAGTTTTACGGGGCGTGGTTTGCAATTCGCCCAGCCAATCGAAAATTGGTACTTTTCTCTCTCCAGGATAGTACCACCTCTCTAGCAGGCACTGACAAGGGGGTAAAAGTTCCCTGAACTAAGTACTCTTTTTGGTGTGAACGCAAAATTCCAGGCACTAACGGAACTAAACGGGAAAGGTACGGGTTAAAGTACTCCGCTGTGAACGCGCCTATTGTGTTATTTATTTTAACCAAATCTCTCTCAGAGGGGCGTGGGGAGGGGCTCCTTATTTTCATCTGAAGTAACAGACAGAGAATCAGCACTTTTGAAACAGGGCTGAAACAGAGGGGATTATGGGTAATGCTGCCATGATCTGTTTGGTGTTTGGAGCCAAACACTTCAGAGACATGTTCTGTATATATCTGAGACCTATAATATATTGATGAAAAACAGAATAATAGGGGACCTTTAAGTCAGCTCCCCCCTCTCCCCCCCACTCCTCCTGCTGCTTTTTTACGCCACAGCATGCAGAGCTTTACAGTTGAGTTCATAATAGCTCAGTGTGGGGCTGTCGTTTTAATGAGTCGTCTCCGAGACATAACGTCACTGTTCTGTAACTCCTGTCTTCCTGTGTTAAATGTGATGGTCTAATAACTTTGCTTTAGGGGGGATTTTTACTTTTGGGGTTGTGCTTACGTTGAACAACTAGTATGAATTTGCAGATAACTAAACCCCGCCAAATTAAAGGTACCCTGTTGAGTTTTTGAACCCTACAACAGTATTTGTTTTTCAAGTGGGTCTGGCATGCATGAGGAAACACATGCAGTTTTCCAGCTCATGGTTTTACGCTATTTGGGTCGACCATTGATGGTGTTCATGCGCAAAGGAGTGTAGCAATGCACCTGCAAATGCTGTGCAGAAGAAAAGCACTAGCAAGAGTACCAATATAAACAGTACCAATATTTACTAAATATAATTCCTAAATGTTTTCTCCGTGAGGAAATGCATTCAACATGTCTGCTTGACCACCAGGATACACTCAATGTGTTTTTGATAAGAAACACTAAAAAAGCCTTTCTTTGTTTACAAGAAAAGTCCAAAGTGCACCTTTAACATTTAATACAAGAAGCTATCAGAAGAACATTTAAAGGTGGAAGATTTCCATAACTAAAAAAATAATAATTGTCCTGTTTGTGCTATAGACGAAGTGTGTGAAAACATTCGCTATCTCAAATCAATTATTGAAAGTGAACATGTAATTGGATGATTAAAGGCACGGTCATACACGTGCAAAGGCAGACGAGGAGTGCCAGGAGGGGTCAACTACAAACCCTTGTTGCTATTGGCTGAGATCACAACCTCATATAACCCATGTGACGCGGCTTTGCTTTGCTACCGTAAGCAAATGTTTTATTCACCCACTTTTTGTCAAATATTTGCAAATGTAAATGTTGCGCACGTGTGACCGTGTCCTCGTACATATTGAAACCGTTCTGTCCCAACTTTTTTTTAACCAATCATCCCTCCTCATTTCTGCCAGACTTCCCCCCTCCTCCCCCTCCTCCTCCACTGGATGATGATTTGCCAGCCCCTCCCCCCGAATGTCAACCCTCTTCCTACGAGGCGGCCTCTCCTGAATTCCCCGCTCCCCCTCCAGCGGTGGAAGACCTGTCGCTCCCAGCTCCCCCCGATGACTTCGCCCCCCCGCCGTCCTTACCGTCTCCCCCTCCTCCCCCACCCCCTCCCCCTCCCCCTCCACCTCCACCCCTCTTTGCCTCTGGTATTCCTAGTGCTGCTGGAAACCCACAGGTGAGTCACGATGCTGTCTTCCCCGAATCAGGCTAAAGTCCGTCTGCATGTTTCCTCTTTTGGCTGCATGTAACTGCATTTCCTTGTAATGTCATCATGAGAGAGGACACTGGGGGACATTGTTGTGAGTCCATGGAGTGTTGGCAGGAAATACTGCCTTTTTCCACAAATTATGTTAGCATTAGTCTGGGGTAAATCACCCAGTGTCATGCGTCTAACTGAATGATTGCCCATTTATAGAACTGAAATAGTTTTTAGACATGCCATGAAGGGTTTATTGTTGAGAAGTTAATTGTAGGATTGTGTTAATTGCAGATGGATTGTCGGGCTATAAAGGCAGCAATGTAGGGAATAAAAACAAATGCAGCTACTGTACACCTCCTTGTTTAAATCAGCAAGAGTTCATGCTAAATGTTCCTCTCTAAACAATCAAATAATTCAAAATCTAATAGTTCTCAATAACCAAATCATTATTCATTTGTTCCCTGTCATCATTACTCACTACATTAAGTGTGTTTGTTTGTCATTCATTCTTTTATCTGGGTTTTCCACCACAATCACTTTTTCGAGTAATGTTTCTTTCTGCATATTTGTATAGATTAAAGACCCCAAACACAGTCTTGTAAAGGATATCCATATTTATGTCAAAAATGTATCATCATCCACCTTTCACTTACTGGCTCATCGTCTTTTGCTTCATTGTTTGTCTTCACTTTATTTGTGTAAATGAATGTACTCCTTTTGACCATCTCCTCCTCTCCCCCTGCCAGAGACTTGTGGAGAAGCAGACGAGCTTCGATCAACAGCTGGACACTCTGACCGACTTACTGTCCGAGATGGAGACCAGGGGACCTTTCAACCCCAAGGTACGAAGCAAGGAAGGATAGACAATACACTGTGAAACACACACACCAGTTAAACACCATAATGACTCAGGTAGCCCTATCATAGTCTTATCACACTTTCAGGTGTAGTCATTGCTCGTATTATGCAATAAATCACTCATTACTTTTGACTACATTATTCAGTCTTTTGACATAAATTAACATTCATTTTCCCATTTTGAAAGTGTAATTATTATTTTACATTTAGATTTTTTGTAACATGGGTCCGGTAATTCAAACAGTGTTTCTGCTCATAATGCAAATTAACAAAAACATTTATGAATGGGCTAAAATCAAGACTGACTTTTACCAGAGCTTTTTTTAAATTAAAGGTGGGGTAGGTACGTTTGAGAAACCGGCTCGAGATACACTTTTTGTTATATTCCATGGAATGCTCTTAACATCCCGATAGCAATGAATATCTGAAGTGCTTTGACAACAAATCCATAAAAACACATCATCTGTGGAAGCCGTGGCGCTGTAAAAAGCACGACCAATCATCTGAGCCGGCCCGGCTAAAGTAACTGGATGGCCTACCTGCCTGTCAGCCTTCCATCTGTGCACAAACTTATCTCGTGCCCTCATTGGTCATGTGCGCGTTCGTGTGTGTTGGAGGAGGGGCTCTGTAAGGAAGTGGCAGATTTGTTCCGGCTGTGTATTTTCAAATTCTAACGCACTCGAGCTGGTTTCTCCAAAATTACCTACCCCACCTTTAAGTCCTAATTGATAAGTCAACCGACAAATAATACACTATTTTAATAACTTATGAATTGTCAGAATAAGTCAAGCAAATATACCAAAGAAAATCAATTCAAGATGTCACTGCATGTCACACACACACACACACACACACACACACACACACACACACACACTGGGATACAGAGAGGAGCAGGAGAACAAAGGCTTTGTTTCACAGGAGCCATGATGTAGATCATGAGAATGAGTCAGATGGAGGGTCAGTGGAAATAGTTTGGAGAGGTTGGTTTCATTTAGTCTCTGTTCAGGTTGAAAGCTCAATGATAAGTGAAATGCACCCCATACCGAAAACAAAAAGTGAGGTAGCTGGTGATTCAAACTGAGAGGAGACACTCGGAGAGAGAGAGAGAGAGAGAGAGAGAGAGAGAGAGTGATGCACACAGAATGGAGAGCACGAGAGTGAGGTAGAGCCAGAGTTTGCTGCCAGAGACCCGGTGAGAGAGCGCCATAAATGGAGAGCGTTTTCCATCCAACTGGGATGTGCTGGATCGCTGCAGAATAATGTTGGCTCAAAACAGCCAAATACATTTCACAGAGATGAAGCACTACTCCTGAGAAGCTCAAACTGCGGAGCACTTCCAGTGTTTACTTTAATCAAAGTTGCTCGTTCAATTTAATAAAAGTGTCGGCTTGCTGCTTTTCAGAATATTACCTTCTCTCTGTTGAGTGTCAGTTTATAATGAATGGAAGATTTATGTTCTACGCTTGTGTACAAGAGCTTCACGTTGAGTTTTGTTTTGAGGTAGAATCAGAATCAAGTTTATCGTCAGGTACGTTCACACATACAAGGAATTTGCTTTGGTGTACGACGTTGCAGACCTAAACAACGCAAGAACATAAGCTGTAAGAGAAGGTAAAACATATAACGCAGACACCGCAAATAGATAGTTACATATACAAAGGAAACTACAAAACGACTTGGAGAATCATCTGGAATAACTGTATTGTTTCCGTTTTATCCGCAGATACCAAGCCAGTATTCTTCCGCACCAGCAACAGCACCCAAGCCTCCAGCTCCCCCCCCCACCGCCCCGAAACCATCCCTCTCCTTCCTCCCGCCCCTTGAGATGGGAGACCGCCCGCCTCCTGCTCCCTGGGCCGAAGAACTCAAAGCCAGAACGAACCGACACGCCAATAATCACAACTCTGGACCCAACTCCTCTCAGCCGCTCTCTAAAGCCCCCGCTGTGGCCCCCAAAGCTGCTTTCGGAGGGAGAACGGCCACTTCCTCAACCTCCCTGGCGCAGAAACTGAACCAGAACCTGAACCAGAACGCGGTTCCAGTCGCACCGAAGCCTTCCCCTGCCTCCAGCTCCTTCCCGCCGCCTCCCGCAGCCCCCCCCGCCGCTCCTGCTCCACCCAAAACCACGGCCCCCGCCCCGGCCTTCAACCACATCAAGAGTTCTCCCTTCGCTGGTCAGATGACTGCAAACCAGAACCCCCCCGCTGCGCCTGCTCCTCCTCCACCTCAGCCCAAGATGATGGCGTCTCCCTCCTCCTCCTTTAACCAACCAATGAAATCTCCTCCTCCTCCTCCTCAGCCCAAGATGATGGCGTCTCCCTCCTCCTCCTTTAACCAACCAATGAAATCTCCTCCTCCTCCTCAGCCCAAGATGATGGCGTCTCCCTCCTCCTCCTTTAACCAACCAATGAAATCTCCTCCTCCTCCTCAGCCCAAGATGATGGCGTCCCCCTCCTCCTCCTCCTCCTCCTTTAACCAACCAATGAAATCTCCTCCTGCAGCAACAGTATGTTATGTTTTTATTTCTCACTAGTATCATTGTCCATGTTTTAGCGTATTTTTTCTGTTTTGCTATTATTTTACATTTTTGATATCCTATTTTAAATTGTTTTATTTTAAACTATTTTAATTTCTTGTCAGCTTTAATTCAAGGGAATTTCATTAGGATAACTATATTTATTTTAATATTGTTGTTGTTATGTTTTTCTGTAAAGGCTGCTTGAAAGATGCTATAGAGTGGCGAAGTCACACCCATCTACTTCCGACCCGTGGGACCTTATTTCGGAAAAATTATGTATTGAAGTCGATGAAGAGAGAAAAGATATCTTTCGATCCCGTTTGAATTGTGCCACGAATTACACATATGATGTTTGTCAATCTTAAAAAATAATTTCCATGTCAAAAAAGTTAGTTTTTCGTAAAACTGTTGAAATATAAGACTATGAAAAATACAGCAACTAGAAAGACTACAAATCCCAGCGTAAGTGATATCATAATTGTTTTCCTCCACTAAATATAAGAGATAGATAAGATAACTTTAACAAGATGCCTGTGTGCTTAGTACCAGGTTGTTATCATACCAGCAATGGGTCTTGCTCGTTCTTTCGCTTCCCGTCTGATGAAAGGACCAGGAGTGGCTGGATCAAGTTAGCTACCTAGCTAGTAGCTAGCACGTTAGTTAGCATTACAGCCTTAGCCTTGTCATTTTTATTAGCCTTAACATGAAGTGACATTAAGTAACCCACAATGTTAAACAGTAAGAGTAGTAGTCATATTTCATGAACCCTTTTGAAGAGTACTGTCACACCAGTGTGATCATTCTATAATACACCGTTTAAGCCCGGATGCCCCCGGGGGAGACATTCTAATGCTAATGCTACATTAGCATCGGCGATCTTTTCTACTTTTGTGCTATCTGCACAAATGATTAACATTGAACATTAAAAAGTTCAGGGAGAATCGAAGGCAGGCAGGCAGGCAGCTTTGCATGACATTCTTCTGGACGTGTTTCATTGTGGTGATAGTGAGGGTAGTCAATCCCTTGTTTGGCAAGACAGTAGTGACGGCCATCTTGGTGACGTGTGTTGTTGTGCGAGACCAGAGATGTAGTTCATTGAGCGGTTTCACAAAAAAAAAGTCTTACTTCACAGTTTTAAGGCAAAAAGAAAATGGTTAACTTGAAAAATTATCTATTAAATTGACAAACATCATGTTTGTAATTCGTGGCACAATTCAAACGGGATCGAAAGATAACTTTTCTCTCCCCATTGATTTAAATACATAATTTTTCCGAAATAAGGTCCCACCATGGAGGTCCACCGTTCGCCTCTCTTACAAATAAAGTTTATTATTATTATTTCACTAAAGAAACACTCATTGCTTTGCATGTACAGTAAAAAGGCACAAATAATTTAGCTTCTAGTCATCACATGAGAATTATTCATCTCTGGACCTGCACTAACCGTGTTTCTAGAGGTAAACTGCTCAATCGTGAATAACAAAATGCTATTTAAGGTATGTTGAATGAAGCTATGTGAATAATGTATGCTTTAATGGTGTGTGTGTGTGTGTGTGTGTGTGTGTAGCCCTCACCCTCCGGCCCAGTGGCTATCCCAGGTGGAGGCGTCCCTCTGAATATGAGGGAGGTGGAGGAGCTGGAGAGGATGACCAAGGACTTCATCAGAGACATGGACACAAACGCACCCGTCATCACCTCCCCACCGACAGGTACACACACACACACGACACAAAGACAGACGGTGGATGTGATATTTATGATTAAAAAAAATAACATTATCATGTCATTTCTAAATAGATTTGTTTGCAATATGAGAAAGCTATGTAATACCCAAGACTGGAAATATAAAAAAGTACTGTTACTACTTTTCAAACAGAGGTCAAAAGTGCTTTCACACAGAAACAGAATACGAATACACACATTATAAAACACACGAAGTAAAACAAACAGTAAATAAGAGAATGGAAATGTTCCGATTTTTTTCTGGCTGAACGCAAAATATTTATAGATAATAAAATGTATTCACAGGCTTTTATATATCTCTGCAGTGGTTTTCAGTTCACTGCATGACCTTAAAGGGACAGTCCACCCCGAAACCAAACGTACATTTTAATGCAAGTTGCAGAGAGTTGAAGATATCTGCCTTCGATCCAATATAGAGGAACTAGATGGCACTCGTCTTGTGAAGCTTAAAGCAGCAAAAATAAATTAAAAACTCAAATTGAAATGTCTCTATCCAGAGGTAATTCACAGATCTTGCTCTCAGTAGTTTGATGGAGGAACTATTTACTTCCTACTTAACTATATCTGCCAACTCTCTCCTTGTGCAGGAGGAAGTGCGAACGAGATTGGTGGGTGTAGTTTGGTGTAATGAAAAATAGATCCTACATGAAGCTGCTCACAACAAGAGTCCGTACAACTAAACAAATCCATTAAATCGTCTTTTTTTAATGTGGAAATAATAACAATTACTGGTATTTATTTTAGCGCTTTTCCAAGTGCTCGAAGCGCATTACATTACATATATAATAAGCATTAAGGAAGGACACTGTAGTTATTAACACAAGCAGAGGAGAGTAGAAAGATGGATGTATTTGTGAATAATCTTGTTTGTATATCTTATTTATTCAAACTTCTCTCTCTGTGCCTCTCTCCTCCCTGTTCAGAGATGTGTGGGAAGTGTGGCGAGGCTCTGTCCCGCACCCAGCCGGCCGTCAGAGCCATGGAGAAACTCTTCCACTCCGACTGCTTCTGCTGCCTGAGCTGCCAGCGCCCCCTGCAGGGCCTGCAGTTCTATGACCGCGACGGGGCCCCCCAGTGTGATGACTGCTACACGGTGAGGGGCCAATGCACACTGCAGGATCACAGCAAAAGACACGTACTTTTTCAAATTCAAACGTTTTAAAGGTCACCTATTATGCAAAATCCACTTTTTCATGTCTCTTCTACATCAAACATGTGTCCCCCTCTCTCATGTCTCTTCTACTCAAATGTGCCCTCTTCTTCATGTACTCTTCTACATTCAACATGTGTCCCTCTTCTTCATGTCTCTTACATCAACATGTGTCCCCTCTCTTCATGTCTCTTCTACATCAACATGTGTCCCCTCTTTCCATGTCTCTTCTACATCAACATGTGTCCCCTCTTCTTCATGTCTCTTCTACATCAACATGTGTCCCTCTTCTTCATGTCTCTTCTACATCAACATGTGTCCCCTCTTCTTCATGTCTCTTCTACATCAACATGTGTCCCCTCTTCTTCATGTCTCTTCTACATCAACATGTGTCCCCTCTTCTTCATGTCTCTTCTTCATCAACATGTGTCCCCTCTTCTTCATGTCTCTTCTACATCAACATGTGTCCCCTCTTCTTCATGTCTCTTCTACATCAACATGTGTCCCCTCTTCTTCATGTCTCTTCTACATCAACATGTGTCCCCTCTTCTTCATGTCTCTTCTACATCAACATCACATGGTGTCCTCTTCTTCTATGTCTCTTCTACATCAACATGTGTCCCCCTCTTCTATGTCTCTTCTACATCAACATGTGTCCCCTCTTCTTCATGTCTCTTCTACATCAACATGTGTCCCTCTTTCTTCATGTCTCTTCTACATCAACATGTGTCCCCTCTTCTTCATGTCTTTCTACATCAACATGTGTCCCCTCTTCTTCATGTCTCTTCTACATCACATGTGTTCCCCTCTCTTCATGTCTCTTCTACATCAACATGTGTCCCCTCTTCTCATGTCTCTTCTACATCAACATGTGTCCCCTCTTCTTCATGTCTCTTCTACATCAACATGTGTCCCCTCTTCTTCATGTCTCTTCTACATCAACATGTGTCTCCTCTTCTTCATGTCTCTTCTACATCAACATGTGTCCCCTCTTCTTCATGTCTCTTCTACAGATCAACATGTGTCCCTCGTCTTTCATGTCTCTTCTACATCAACATGTGTCCCCTCTTCTTCATGTCTCGTCTACATCAACATGTGTCCCCTCTTCTTCATGTCTCTTCTACATCAAACATGTGTCCCTCTCTTCTTCATGTCTCTTCTAGCAATCAACATGTGTCCCCTCTTCTTCATGTCTCTTCTAGCACATCAACATTGTGTCCCCTCTTCTCCATGTCTCTTCTACATCAACAGTGTCCCTCTTCTTCATGTCTCTTCTACATCAACATGTGTCCCCTCTTCTCATGTCTCTTCTACATCAACATGGTGTCCCCTCTTCTTCATGTCTCTTCTACATCAACATGTGTCGTCTCTTCTTCATGTCTCTTCTACATCAACATGTGTCCCCTCTTCTTCATGTCTCTTCTACATCAACATGTGTCGTCTCTTCTTCATGTCTCTTCTACATCAACATGTGTCCCCTCTTCTTCATGTCCTCTCTTCTACATCAACATGTGTCCCCCTTCTTCATGTCTCTTCTACATCAACATGTGTCCCCTCTTCTTCATGTCTCTTCTACATCAACATGTGTCCCCTAGTCTTCATGTCTCTCTATCATCAACATGTGTCCCCTCTTCTTCATGTCTCTTCTACATCAAACATGTGTCCCCTCTTCTTCATGTCTCATTCTACATCAACATGTGTCCCCTCTTCTTCATGTCTCTTCTACATCAACATGTGTCCCCTCTTCTTCATGTCTCTTCTACATCAACATGTGTCCACGTCTTCTCTGGCCTTCTACATCAACATGTGTCGTCCCTCTTCTTCATGTCTCTTCTACATCAACATGTGTTCCCCTCTTCTCATGTCTCTTCTACATCAACATGTGTCCCTCTTCTTCATGGTCTCTTCTACATCAACATGTGTCCCCTCTTCTTCATGTCTCTTCTACATCAAACATGTGTCCCCTCTTCTTCATGTCTTCTTCTACATCAACATGTGTCCCTCTCTCTTCATGTCTCTTCTACATCAACATATGTCTCTTCTTCATGTCTCTTCTACATCAACATGTGTCCCCTCTTCTTCATGTCTCTTCTACATCAACATGTGTCCCCTCTTCTTCATGTCTCTTCTACATCAACATGTGTCCCCTCTTCTTCATGTCTCTCTACATCAACATGTGTCCCCTCTTCTTCATGTCTCTTCTACATCAACATGTGTCCCCTCTTCTTCATGTCTCTTCTCATCAACATGTGTCCCCTCTTCTTCATGTCTCTTCTACATCAACATGTGTCCCCTCTTCTTCATGTCTCTTCTACATCAACATGTGTCCCCTCTTCTTCATTGTCTCTTCTACATCAACATGTGTCCCCTCTTCTTCATGTCTCTTCTCATCAACATGTATCCCCTCTTCTTCATGTCTCTTCTACATCAACATGTGTCCCCTCCTCTTCATGTCTCTTCTACATCAACATGTGTCCCCTCTTCTTCATGTCTCTCTACATCAACATGTGTCCCCTCTTCTTCATGTCTCTTCTACATCAACATGTGTCCCCTCTTGTTCATGTCCTTCTTCTACATCAACATGTGTCCCCTCTTCTTCATGTCTCTTCTACATCAACATGTGTCCCCTATTCTCCATGTCTCTTCTACAATCAACATGTGTCCCTCTTCTTCATGTCTCTTCTACTCAACATGTGTCCCCTCTTCTTCATGGTCTCTTCTACATTCAACAGTGTCCCTCTTCTCCATGTCTCTGTCTACAATCAACAGTGTGTCCCCTCTTCTTCTTCTTCATCAACATGTATCCCCTCTTCTTCATGTCTCTTCTACATCAACATGTGTCCCCTCTTCTTCATGTCTCTTCTACATCAACATGTGTCCCCTCTTCTTCATGTCTCTTCTACATCAACATGTGTCCCCTCTTCTTCATGTCTCTTCTACATCAAACATGTGTCCCCTCTTCTTCATGTCTCTTCTACATCAAATTGTGTCCCCTCTTCTTCACGTCTCTTCTACATCAACACGTGTCCCCTCTTCTTCATGTCTCTTCTACATCAACATGTGTCCCCCTCTTCTTCATGTCTCTTCTACATCAACATGTGTCCCCTCTTCTTCCATGTCTCTTCTACATCAACATGTGTCCCCTCTTCTTCAGTGTCTCTTCTACATCAACATGTGTCCCCTCTTCTCCATGTCTCTTCTACATCAACATGTGTCCCCTCTTCTTCATGTCTCTTCTTCATCAACATGTGTCCCCTCTGTGGAAAGAGACTCTGAAAGTTTCAGGAACAAAGATTCTCTCTCTTTTTGATCCATTTCTATAAAAACCTGTCTGAAAATGAGCTGATCAGATTTTGGCCACTTTATGATGTCATCATTTTTTGTCTTGTGTAACCATTAGCCAATCAGCAACCAAGGTAACCCCCCCCTTATCACCTGAGTCTCCTCCTAGAGCACCATTGTGGTCTTTTTAACCAAATATCTCTCAGAGGGGCGTGGGGAGGGGCTCCTTATTTTCATGTGAGACATGTTTTGTATATAACTGAGACCTGTAATATATTGATGAGAAACAGTATAATAGGGGACCTTTAAGTACAGTACTTGAGTAGATGTACCTGATTACATTCCACCATTGCTCTTTAATAACACAAATAACTAATAATACACAGTGTTGATTATTAATCATCCCCCCCCGCTGGTCCTCAGAGCTCTCTGGCGGTGTGTTCCCGCTGCGGGGAGAGGATCACAGACCGCGTGCTGAAGGCAGTGGGCCAGTGTTTCCACTCTCACTGTTTCCGCTGCAGCACCTGCTCCTGCTCTCTGGAGGGGGCGCCCTTCATCACCGACGACAACAACAACCCCTACTGCGTCCCGGATTACCACAGGTGGATACTGGCTGTTCACTCCTCTCTGACGAGGAAATATTACATCTCTATGCAATGTGTGTTGACAAGCAAACAATGTGGGACAAGACTTTGACAAAGAAGGTTTCTCAATTCTCTAATTCCCCTCCTCGACTCCCCTCCTCGTGTCTTAGTCCCGCCCACAGGAGATGCGAGTCGAGGAGGGGAACCGAGGAGAGAGGAGGCGAAGCAGCAGGCGTTTAGAGAAATGAGAACTCCTCTCCTCTGAGCGGTCATTTTAAAGATACGTCCATTAATGATGACAGGAGGCACAGAAGCCCTCTGTCTGATGGACAGAACTGTGTTCATGATGACTTGTATATTTACTTTTAATTCATTCACAGTGCAGAATAATGAGACAATAACAGGCTACAGATGTGGACATATACACACACACACACACACATATATTTATATAAATTAAATGCTTTGACAATAAATCCATAAAAAAATGCATCTGTGGAAGCCGTGACGCTGTAAAAAGCACGACCTAAAGTAACTGGATGGCCTACCTGCCTGTCAGCCTTCCATCTGGGCACAAACTCATCTCGTGCCCTCATTGGTCATGTGCGCGTCGTGTGTGTTGGAGGAGGGGCTCTGTGAGGAAGTCTGAAGGAAGGGGCAGATTTTTTTCGGCTGCGTACTTTCAAATTCTAGCGCACATGGAGCTGGTTTCTCCATTCTTACCTACCCTACCTTTTTAAAGCTTAAAGAAAAAAAAGACAAAATATTCAGAAAATAGTGTCCTGTGAAAATCAACAAATCCATAAAATTGAATTTCTTATCTTACATGGAAATTACTTGGTCAGGTTTATTATTATCATCAATCATTTGGGGATGTTATAAACACAAGCAGAGACACATAGGAAGGTGTGTGTATTTGTAAATAATTGTATTTATTAGTTATTATTTCTATATAATTTACTCTTTTCAAACATCTTTCTCTCTCGTGTGTTCTGGTTGGCAATGAACATCTGAAGTCCCAGCTTCTTGGAACAATACATCTTAACAGGATAAAGGAGAATGTATGAGAATGGGAGTTGCTCCCGATGGCCAAAGGTGTGTGAATGTTAGTTCCTAGAGTAAGGTTCACTGCTCTGTATGAATGGGTGAATGACATGTAGTATGTAAAGCGCTTTGAGGGGTCGTAAAGACTGGATAAAGCGCTACATAAGTACAGTCCATTTACCATTTTAATACTGTACATTGGAATAAAACACAGCTTATTGTAAGTGTGTATAGATGTATGGATTGTAAACAGATGTATGTGCTATAAACAAATTAAGGGGAAGTCTGTTGCTCTTGGTCCTGTATGATTGAAAGGTCAAATCTATTTTAGCAGTTTATACATTTCTATGACCCCATTTATCATACCTCTGAATACTGATAAGAGTTTATTGGAGGAAGGAGGCAGCAGCTCTTCTTCCTCATGTGAAAGTGTGCACAGCAGGCTAAACTGTGGCTATACAAATCAATCAATCAATGTTTATTTATATAGCCCAATATCACAAATGTTATATTTGTCTCAGTGGACAGTTTGTACAGAATATCCCTACGATACGACCCTCTCTGTCCTTGGCCCCTCACATCGGACAAGGAAAGAAATACCAATAAATCCGTCAGACAACTAGCTGACAGGCCCCACAGCATACTGCTTTCGGTGCTACTTGACTACGAGTGTGAAATGTGTGAGAATTATCTTAAGGCGATCAACTAACCCCCCCCCCCTCTTCTATTCCCGGCGTTTTCTCCCCTCAGTGTGTGAGCTGTAACGAGCCCATCGTGCCCTCCCCGGGCAGCGAGGAGACGGTCAGAGTGGTCGCTCTGGACAAGAACTTCCACCCTCAAAGTGTTACCCGTTGTGGAGGTGAGAACATTTAAACTCAAGGTGTTGTCAAAATAAACCTCACATAATGTTCAAGGTTCCAGGCTTTTATTGTCAGGTGTGCATAGCTACAGTGTAGTGAACATCTTAGGTCACAGGCTCCTCCTACAGTGCAACACAATAAACAGATAAATAGTGCAAGTAAATAAAATAGAATATAATAGGAAATAGTGCAGAATAGTATATATACAAGTAATTGGAATATTGATATGAGTTGCAAACAGATGAATGTTATGGATGTTCTTTCAACAGTGCAGGACTTATGGCCTGTATTATTCAATCTAATATTCCATTGCTCACATACTTACGTATATATAATATCCCGCTTTATATTTTGTTACGGTACATTTGTAATTCAACATGTATATTTTCAACTTTTTTTTAATGCTATTGTATTTCTATTGAGATGTTTACATGTTGAAATGTTTATTTCTAGTCTTTTAATTTTGTATCGTACAATACCATGTCTTTTATGCTGCTGCAAACGCAAAACAAATCGCAAATTGGTATCAATAAAGTACTTCTTATCTTATCTTAGTAAATAACCTGCTAATAAACACATCTGTGTGTCTGTCCTGCAGGATTGTGCCCGCCCTCTCTCCATAGAAGCCGATGAAAATGGCTGCTACCCATTGGATGGCAAGATCCTGTGTATGAAGTGCCACACCCAGCGAGCCAAGCAAGCTGCGCAGTGATTGGCTGAAGCGGCGTTACTCTCCGATTTAACTATGAACCAAAATCCAAAAGCACGGGATTCATCCAGCGGCCCTTTTGCCTTGGCAGCAGTCATTCAGTGTACATGTGGCAGGTGTGTGTGTGTGTGTGTGTGTGTGTGTGTGTATGTGCGTGGAGCAGTGTGTCTGCATGCAGATCCAGAGTAGTATTCCCCTCGTCTTTGTTCTCTTCAGTGCAGAAGTAATGTACTGCATTGATTTCCATCTTTTATCCCCCAACTCATCTAGCCCTCTTTGTGTACAACAACGTATTTTTTGTGCCAATTCCATGTTTACGCTAAACGTTTCCAGCATAACTTGCACAAGAACAGTCAAAAGAGCAGTCTGAAGAATATAAAGTTGCCTTCTCGCGCCTCGATATTGTAAGTAGCAACAAGAAATTGCCATTTTAAGCGGGCGGTCTCTGTCCCTGTGAGCATTGTAACGAAGATGCTTTTTTACCATAGGCTGAGAAGTACCACATTTGACCACTCTGCAGATTTCACCACTCCGATTGGCTGCTGGTTGAGAATATCTTTAACATGTTGGCAGTTTTTGTGCCTGCACGCATGGTTAATGATGCTTTCCCCTGCCTAGAGTGCTTCATGTCAGCCAATCTACTCCGACAGCATCTTAAAGACGTCTAGGGCTAATCATTAACTGCAAAAAACAAAAACGGGGATTGTTGCTCTTAGTTTGTGATGTGAATTTGATCATTTACAGGCATGCGTTTTCACTATGTCTCGTAGCTTTCTCTCCTTCAATCATACACACCGTAAAAGGGCAAGATCAGAACAAAAATGAGTCCCTTGAGTATTTTTACATGCATGCTTTTTGAATGCACAATTATGAACAAGCACAGATCCCATTCAACGGGTCTAATAAAAACAAAATGGTTATGAATGCCAGCTGCACGGCTGAAAACAGGACCTATCATGTGATCGTTGCACATTTCCACAGTGAAATAAAAAAGCCTTTGAGTGTCGCTTTGACTCTAAAGCCCCCGCACATGATACATTTTGTATTAGTGGTAACCATCTAGACATACTAGTAGCTTTTGATATGCATCTCTTGCTTTAAATATTATAATTTATGGATTCTTTTTTATTAAGTATTAAGGTTATGTGTACAAAACAACCTGTCCTTACAGTAGAATAATAGATTAGCATATGATGCAAATTAGTGACCAATTATGTTGTAGCTGGAAGTTAATAAAACACGTTACATGAGATTCAATGTCTGACTTTCATGTATGTTCTTAATCACCTTCTTGTGTTTGAGCCCAGTTTATTTTTGGTTTATTGTATTGTTAAAGTAAATACCACTATTATTTCCATTATTCATCTTTTTTTACTCTGTTCATGTCGGTATATTCTACTTTATTCCTATCTTACTGTACTGTATTTCGTTGATAAATGCTTACAATGATTCCATTCTGACCCTGGAGACCTGCCTTCTCTGCTGTTGTTTCTCTGAGTTGAGCCTACAGAAATTCATTCCACACAGAAAAACACAAAACATGGCAACAGTGATTGAGCGTTGCATGCTATCTGTGTCAGTGGTGGTGTTTCCTCCAGTGTTTCCTCTTCAGTCTGCACCGCCCGCTCCGCCTTCGTCATCACTCTGAGATTTGATAATGCTTTCATGGTTGCATTTATCTGGCGTTCTGTTATGTTTGTCATATTGTATTACATGCGGATGCCTTGTCTTTTCATATAACTTTTTTAAAAAGGAATTCCTGTTTGATATGTGTGTATGTGTTTAAAATCCTTATTTAGCCCCCCCCTCCCTTTGACTGTATCAAAAGATAAACAAATAAATAAATACAATGCTAAATACCAAATGTTTCTGTCTGATCTCTCAACTGTACAACCATGCTATTAATCAGGTGGTGGAATAAGTATTATAGTTTACTTAAATTAAAGTTGCAATACTACATTGTAAACATTACTATAGCCGCTCTCACACTAAGTACTTTGCCGTACTCAGACCCCATTTACACGGGAACGTTTACGCACCGTATGCGTTTTCAAAAAAGTCTTCCGTTTCGGCTCAATTAACGTGTCCGTTCCATACAGTCTATGGTCCGTTCACACGAGACCGCTGGAAACGCTGTAGTACATATGCCGGGCCTGTAAGTGGTGCTGCTGCCGCCTCAAAATACACCAAAAGCAGCGAAGAAGACCCTGGAGCATGGTTGCCCTTCTGTTTATTCTCCGCGGTGGACGGCGTGTGCTCCTGCTGTAAATCTCTCCGGTTCCAGTAGATGAAAAACACCCACCTCTCGGCCTCTTCCAAGGGACGAGGGAACCGTGCGGCAGAGTTTCTGTTAAAAATGTTTTCCGCCGGTCAACATGTCCGTTAAAGTTTAAATATTCCGGACAAAATTAGAAAAGTGCCGGTCAGAGTGGCGTCCCCTCTGACCGGCACTTTTCTAATTTTGTACTTCACGGTGGCGGTCCGGACTACGAAGTCCCCGGACTCCCAGCAGCTTCTACTGAAGCCTTCCGAGTAAATCGCCAGAACGCCGACACCTCCTCATCACTCCACCGCTCCCATGTTTTATTTTGCGTTGCCATAAATTAGTCTCTCTCCGTTGGTGCGCTGGGCTAATGCTAATCCCCAGGATAGTACCACCTCTCTAGTAGGCACTAAAAATGAGGGTAAAAGTTCTCTGAACTAACTAGTTCTCTTTTTGGTGTGAACGCAAAATTCCAGGCACTAACGGAACTAAACGGGAAAAGTACGGGGAAAAGTACTCCGGTTTGAAAGCCAGTGGCGGTTCTAGACCAATTTGACTGGGGGGGGGGCCACTGGGGGGCCAGTTATTTTCTGAGGGGGGCACAATAAATGCAGGACGAAAAAGAGAACTAGACAGTATGAAGTAATTGCGCATAAGAAAACAATGCAATACAGAAATTGGTATTTGTTTCAGTACACTTATTTATTTCAGATAGATCTTATAGTTATTACTGTTAGCTTCAGCTTAAGTTATAGTGCAATGTTTGCACTAACACCATATTTATATAAAAATAAAGGCAATGAACAGTTACGTCTCTACTTTACATAAGGGTGTCTGCACAATCTCACATTACAGAAACAAAATCCTGCGGTTTTTGGCAAACTGAGTACCAGAAAATATACATTTAAAAAAACACAAAAAACTTGTCATTGTTAGGGGGGCCACAGGGGGGTCAGAGGTCAGTGTTAGGGGGCACTGGCCCCCCTAGAACCACCCCTGTTGAAAGCGCCTTATGTTACATAAATATCTGCTTTCAAAAATTACAAAGGTTATTTCATCAAAATAAACGTAAAAGTGCTCATGACGCAGATTGATCAAATTCATAATGAATATTATATTACTGAATTATAGTTATTTAAGTGTTCATTTGCAGCTGTAAAGGTGTAGATATAAAATATATTAAATAATGATGGGAAGCTTAACCTTACAAATTGTTAGTTAATGTTATGGAAATCTTAGACCTAGTCAATACTGTGGAGATATACAATTAGAATGATCAATCAATAAACTGGTGAAACAAACAGAGTTGTCTTTCTGGTTCTTTATTCGAGGCGCCTCGAAGGCACAGGTCTCACAGAGTATAGGATAGTCTGCAGGAGTGTGCGCAATAGTCACAGAATAGCAAAGCTTATATACAAGATAGGGCGGGCAGACAGAGTTTTGTGTAGCGGAACGCCTCAGAAATCTGCTTTCACACGGATGTCTCATATTGTTATTAGACACCTGTGTCCTTGAGCTACAGAAAGTATAACGGTTATCAGAATATGGAAGTTCAAACTTTGTGTGAAGAGGAGTAGTTTCAACATAGTCTGCCAAATCAGCTCTGTGGCCTTGAAGCGCTTGAGAATAATAACCCAGAGTATGCACAGAAAACAGCACATATGCCGAAATGGTACAGTAGTGTTAGACAATGCTTTTTAGAAGCATTTGGTTTTACCATATAAGGTAACATAAGAAATTGCCACTACATTAATTTATTTGTTGCGTTATTTTTTTAATTACTGCGTTACTACAGTTATCAAATAAACGTAGTGCAGTAAAATGTACAAATTGCATTGCATAGAGAAGAATAAAAGATAAACAATTGAGAAAAATTACAAGTAGGCCTACCCCAACATTGCCGCATTTTTTTGGGTCATTTTAGAGTCAGTAGAGTAAGGAGGAACTATTCTTAATTTACATTACTTTTTTAACATCTTGACACTAAACCAGTGTTCTTGTTTATTACATTTCTTTGTGCACGCTATTTTCAAGAACATTCATAAGTTATACTTTTAAAAAGTGGTGGGGACACAATTGGCAATTTTAAAAAGTGGTGGGGAAACACACAAATAGTCCCAAAAAAGGTTTGTCGTTTATATTATTGTTATAAAATGTGTTTTATTTGTATTGCCATGTCCTGCAATGTGAGCCTCCTCGTTGCATGATAAAATGTTTTGGATGATTTCATGAATTTTTTCAATACTATAATTTTCTTTTAGGCTGAACTTGTAACATCCGTCCAGGAGCTGCAGATGAACAAGCACTCACTCTGGTGCATTGACAGCAATGTTTATTAATGTGCCCCGTTAAATTAATATGTTTGTTTTTCCACCATATTCTCCCTGGTCGGCCTCCATGTGACTCTCATGAGACGTGTTTCCTCTCAGACCCTGGATGATGTGCTCTATCAGTAGTGAACAGCCCTGCGTTGCACTGATAGTGACGACAGCGGACGTGAGTGGGTGTGCATCAGAGCGTGTTTACTCTGCAGGACGTGCATACCCGCATTCAATACAATGCAACAATGTACAGGCAACAAAAAAAAGGTGTTTGCCTCAACTCATCAACCCTGCAGGCCTTCTGTTCCCAAGCATTTAACCCTACACACAGGATGGAGAGTTTTCATGCATGTTGCAGAGCAGATTCAGTCAGGATCATCTGGAGAGGAGAGTAAGACGTGGCCTGCAGAGTTGTTTTTATCAGAGCGTCAGGAGAGAAGTGAGTGATGCAGAGAGATAGAGAGCTGTTTGACGGACAGCACGGCACACGTGAAGTTAAACATCAAATGTGAAAGACAGAGAACAGGCTGGGGAAACACAGAGAGACACATCCATCTGCTCAGAATGAGTGGAACTCCAACAGACCCAGAGGTAGGATCTGTGAGAAAGTTGACATGTTGTTATGAAGCTGTTTACTGTGTTCACATGAGGCTAATGTGAGTGTTTTTTGAAGTTGCTGGAAACTGGAGCAGAGCCACCCATGTTCCTGCCAAGGAAATGTCGTTATTATTTATATGATGTGTTTTTGATAGATTCTACAATGTGCTGAAATTGTTTTGCCAATGATTGTGTTGCCAAAAGCAAACTGATTTAGTTTAAATCAGCTTTCTCTGGTTACTTTGGATCATTGCAGGACATAACACATGCTGCTTGCCAGTTCCAATACTGTTAAAGATATATAAAATATGTAGACCACGAATTATAGTTTTTATTTTAGTTATTAACTCTGTGTTCACTCAAACTCTTGAAGAAACTCTTGTTTTTCTAGCCATGCATGTGTTTCGGGGAGAGGTGCATGACAGAGGGTTTTTACTGCTGAGTCGATGACCACACTTATTGACTCAATCTGTTAAGTCCCGTTATATTACTATATTTCTGTTAGTGAACAGGCGTTATGTTTTATTTGCACGTTTAAAAAGAAAGTTGAGACAGGTGACTTAGAAAAAATGAAAAGGAATAAAACGGGTAAGGTAAAAAAACGTATAAAACAACATAACTTTTACTTCACATCGTAAATTACAGTTAAAAACAGCAATATGTTGGAATCAAAGCAATTCTAATTTTTCATTTCTAGAGTCTTGACAGGGATATCACTAAGTACTTGTTAACATTTTATAAGTAAGCTTTTAGAAAAGGGTGAAATAAAGGGTTGAAGACAAAGAGGCGTATTGGAGTCCATACCGTGTTTATACAATATTATACACGTTTAAATGCTTAAAATGTAGTCCCCCAAAAATCTTGGAAAAGCATGGAATAACTGAAGTGGGAGATAGTAATCTATAACATATCATTTATCAATTTACTAATGCTTAACCTTTAAGATTTGTTTAGTTAATTTCCTTGCTGTGGGACAAATAAAGGATTTCTGAACCTGATTATTATAATAGCAATTACATAAAATATTACATTTAAAAAGAATGTTATTGCTTAAAATTTGACCACTTCATCTGATCACCTCCAGCCTCAGCTATCGGTCCATCCATCGTCACCGCCAGAACCTGAGGGGGGGCTCCAGCCTCCATCTTTATTGCAGCCGCCTGTCCCCACCCAGGATCCCCCCCACACCACCCAGATCCAACAAACCCAGAACACTCAAACCCAGATCCATCAAACCCAGATCCAGGAGTCTAACCCCGGGCTCCAGCACCAAGTAAAGGCTGTGTGGATAAACCATAGGAGGAAGCTGCTTCTCTTCGGCTTCTCCTTATGTGCTGTTATTCTGGGACTGATTTACTATAAGCATCATAACCCTCAACACAGGAGGACAAACCAGGAAAGCAAAGGTAGGCCTACAAAGAAACACTTCAAAATGACACAATACGTCTCACCTTTTGTCTGACTTGGTTTGACCTGACTCAGGGTCCCATAGGATGTTAAAGAGACTGCTAAAGGGGCCTTTTATGCTCATTTCAGTATTTTGTGTCAACTACCTCTCCTGGGACATGTCTCCATGCTTTAATGTTCAAAAAGCTCTTTATTTCTCTCATACTGCCTGTGCTGCAGCACCTCTTTTCACCCTCTGTCTGAAACCAGAGCCCAGTCTGCTCTGATTG